AACACCATTTGTAGCATAAGTCGTTGATAATGTAAGCTGAGGGTGAAGTTAAGGGTGGTTATTTTATAATAATCCAAGTTGACGATGTGCGGCCCATAAGCTAAGCATGCAAATCGTGGATTAATTAGAGTTTAAATAAAACATTAATTCAAATCAAATGACAAGGATTCAACATTCAAGGAAAGTGATGTAAGGATGTGTATTCAATTGAGATTTTGAGAGATTTTAATTTTTTTAATGAATCTAGGGGTATTCAATTAGAATTTTAAGTGATTATCTGAAATTCAAAGTGTATTCAATTAGAATTTAAGATAATTTATTAAAATCCTTAGGAATTCAGGTGTATTCAATTAGGATTTTAAAGAAGTTTATAATATTCCAGGTGTATTCAATTAGAAATTGATTTTAAAGAACTTAAGAAAGTTGAGGAATTACAGGGAATTGGAGAGATTTCGTAGTGTATTTTAAGCATCCACAAATCTCACCAATTCCTATGAGATTTCAAGGGAATTGAATCAAAATTTTATATGGAATCTCAACAAATCAATTAAATTCCATAAAAATCCATTAAAATTTCTCAAATTCTCAATTGAATACACCCCCCTAAGTTTGCCGTATATGATGACATTATGGCGCCAACATGTTGATAATTTCTGTGTATTCTTTGTAGCTGTTGAATGGACATCCATATATGTAAATAATTACGTTCTAAATCAAGATAATACTTGAAATTAAAAATATTATCTAGCCTTAAGTAGGATTAGTCCGGGATTAAGCAATCACATGGAATGAGGAAAATCGGCATCGTAAAGCCACGTGGCGCCTGGGGGAAGACACGAAGGGGGTGTTGACCAGCTGGAGCGGACAGGGGATCCGCATCCCCCAGAGGAATGACGCTGTGCGAGCGACGTGGAGACACGTGGAGACGCGTGGAGGGAGGTGATTGGGGGAAGTGGAAAAGTGACCCTTGAGGGCAATGAAGGGGCAAAAAGGAGGGAGATTATGGATGAGGATTGAGGGGAGGAGTGCCAGCGAAGCAGCGGGCGGTCGGCGGGGGAATGGAAAGGGGGAAGAAAGTAATGGTGCGAGACTTCTCCGAGTCCAAAGTCCAACGCTCTAGCCCATAGATAAATACTATAAAATCTTATCCAGTTTTTTCAGCTTTGTTTTTTGCCTGTTTGGTGGTTGCCTATAATATTTTTCTTGATTATTTGGAGGTTTGATGTGGAGCAAAATGGGAAAAGAAAAGTAAATGTGCTTTTTCGATTCCCAAATAATAAAGAATGGTTGGTAGCGTCAGCCGCGGATAAATTATAAAATATTAAAAATAACATTATACTGATTAGGTTACAAGTCTATTAACGATTATAATGGAGTACAATGACCACGCACAACAAATGCTAATCTAACTTATAAATAAAGTAAACTTATCAATGAGCAAGCAACAACATACAAAAGAAGAAGTATGTACTTCTCTATCTTGAGAATATTTCCCTAGTCATAGTTATTTGTTTTGGCCCAATGTGTATCAAATACTATGATAATGTAACACGATTATGTACTGCGATTATGTACGACCGATGTTAGTCTAATTTCTAAACCAAACTCGTTATTCGGCATGCAACAATATAGGCATATATGAACTACTACTTCACATTACATACAATCGAGCACAAAAATTTAAGTATGATGAACTACTACTTCACAGTACATACAATCAAGCACCCACGCTATCGACATTTTATCAAGTACTAGCATTCAAATTTGTACCATAGTCCAACATCGATGAAAAACCATGAAGGTGATGTGCGAGTAAGGTAGCACTACAAAAAAAGAGAACAATAATCATGAAGAAATAATATGTAATTCTTGATTGTTATTGTTGTAGTAACAATGATATTATTAACATATAAAAAATGACAAAATGTATTTGCAACCGTTGCGGTTTCATTGATACTTATATTAATTTTGACATTTTACCATTATTTTTCTCGTTAATAATATCATTGTTACTCGGGCAACATCGACAAACTAGTATTTAATTCTTTGCAGGCATTTCTCTCTTTTTGTTGAAGGGCAGACAACATGTACAGCATGTACAGGGCCCTCGAATGAGATGTTTTCTCCATGATTAAATGAGGAACAAAAAAGATAACAAAGGGGTTGGCGAGTGGGTCCAAAATGTCCCTCAAGGAGACGTCCAACGTTAACCTAGCTAACAGTTAAAGATAAGATCAAGTAGAGCCATTGTACCTCGCTGACAGCCTGACTACAACATTGTCGCCCAAACTCATATGGTCGTCCCCTTTTTTAAATCAAGTATGAGTGCATTTCTAGGGTTGTTCTAGTATGCACTATAAACTAAAATTCGTATTCAGTATACCTTTTATTTATAGAAAAACTAATGAAAATGACTTGATAACTTTGAGTTTTAACGATAAGGATAAAATGAATAGTACTAGGTTTGACTTTTTAGTGTAAAAATATGATTTTTCGTTAAAGTAAACAGTACCGCAGACTTTTCGTTAAAACTCTCTTTATTTATTCAGTACATGTCATATAATAGAGCGTACATATTATAATTTTTGATATTTCAGTTCTTTTTTATGTCCATCTCAACAATTCCATTTTTATTTATGGTATTTCATTACATGTTTTATAGGAGTACTCCTCATCAAATATTCCAGTAAGGTACGTTCTTATATATAACCAAATGATGTGGTTGTAGATGATTGGATTATTACTTAACTGTTGATTAACGTGTTTATTTCCTATTGATAACATATCGTTTGATTTGTAAATTTGATTTAAAATTTTGATATTCCTAGCATTACCTATATAATAATATAGTTAATATTACTATTCTAAACTATACTATGAGAATGAGGGAGAGTTTGAATCCACAAGGCACTGAGTTGAAGAAGAATATCCTAACCATGACAATCCACCACTTGTTGCATGATACAATCTTTCATCATGTAATCTCCCAAAGAATACATTTGTGAGATTGATAACATCAAGCATTTAAAGACAATTGAAAATTAACAAAAGACAAGCGCGATAAAACAAAGATTCAAAGAACACATTAATTCTGTGACTAATTATATTCTTAATAAATAGTAGCAGAACAAAATTAAAAGGGTTGGCACATTCAATGAACCTAGACAATTTTTTTCATTGTTCATTGAATGAGGACATATTTTTTTTGGAAAATACTAGATAAACTAAATTTTTAGACTAAATTTTCAAATTAAATGATGTGTCACCAGTAAAATAATAATTCAATCATTAATAACCGCATAATTTGATTTACAAATTTGGTCTCCATACCATTACTCTTTTCTTTGTAGCAAACGCTTCCATTGATGACGAACCGACGATTGATTTATCCCTTACTTTTCTTGTTAATTTTCCCTAATTTTTTTAAAATAAAATTTCTTAATCTTAAGGCTAGACAAGCTACATTATGAATGGTAATTTATATAATAATATTACCTAGTTCTACCATTTGATATGTTATTGGGCGAAATGTGTAAATAAGTGTCATTCTTATTCGTGTTATACATTCTCGATCAATGAATCTTTTACACAATATTTTGGCACACAAATTCACATTCAGACACTTTATTTTTGGAAATTCAAAGAAGCTACTTTGCTAACTTGATTGTTGGAATATAAGATGTTACACTTTTGTTTCTTTGTTTTTTAGGCGAGAGAAATTAAGGAGTTGTTTGATAATTGTGGAGTGAAAAATAGCTTCAAAATTCAGAAGGCGACACGTGAACTTTTTTTTCTTCTCGAATAAGACAAGAATTCCCTCATTAAATGGACACGACACACAAATATTCCCATGTGCAATTCAACATCTCTAGAGGCTTGAGCAGCTGACTACGACATTACCAAGCTCTAGTATAAATACCTGATCTCTACCAAATTCTGGTTAGCTTTTAACTACACATTATGCCCTAAACACTGACTCTTCTATGAGATATTGACTGAGAGACATCAAAGATCTATTGGCCAAACCCCATCACCGCACCTCGTGGGCGCTTGTGGCTTTGGTTTGATCAAATGTGTTGATTATTTTGTAGGTATAAATTCGTTAAGACTAAAGATGATAAATTTTTGCTACCACAATAATCATTTCGTTTTCAATTTTAGTTTCCGTTTCCATTTTGTGTTAGAGACGAGGAAAATATACACCGAAGAAAAGAGGCATATAGGAGAGTGGAAGAATTGCGGAAGAGATGTATATAAGAAATGTATAGAGAAACTTAAAAAAAAAAAAAATTAAAACAAATAAAAAACTATTCTACGTTGTTTTCAACTTGTTTTTCTTTCCTCGCCATAATGAAATGAATTCGAGTTTTTGACCTACCATGATCATGACCTATTTCCAATCTATCTTCACAACTTGAACTAATTCCAAGAACTTAAAAGTTGTTTGATAACCATTTAATTTTTCGTTTTCTTGTTTTCATTTTTTTGTGTTTATATGAACAACATACGAGGAAATAAGGAGTGAAGAAGGATGGGGAAATATGTAGAAGAATTGCATAACGAAATTTAAAAGCTAAAAAGTAAAAAGTAAAAATTATTTCTTCCGCTCCCTCTCACCATTCTTCTTCATTTTTTTTGTTTCCGTACAGTTTCTCCACATCTTATGCACAAAAAACAACTAAATAAAAATCAAATAATTTTCAAAAGTACCCTAAATTTTAATTTCTTTTTTTCTTTTTCAAGAAGGATGTAGGAAAATTGGAGACTTGGAGCATGCTGTACATATACACAGATTTCAAATACAAAGAGTGATTTGGTTCAAGGAGTAACATTTAAACCTAATGAAACCTGGTTTGGTTAATTACAACATGATATAGGATTAATTAGTTTTATTTATGCTGCATGCACCCGTTAATACCCTATAATTTCTATCTGAGAGAGATCACAATGTAGCTTAAAAAAATGCAAGTGACACTACAGGTGGAACAAATTCAGAATAATTAAGTGAAAAACTATTTCCAATTATCCAAAATAATTACAGAGATTAAAAGGTCCAGATAACGGATTTGGAGTAAATCATACAACAGTAATCAATAAAACATGATACACTTTGCAAGGGATGGATTGTCCCGATGAATTTCTCTTCATCCCGCTTTGTTTTGGGTTCAAACCCTCACCACTCCCCTTAGCATAGTTTAGAGTACTAATATCGTTCGTCATAAAAAAACTATAGTTTCAACAGAACAACCATTATTAACAATAACATAATAAGAAATTAAGTGTTTGATCACTCCACTGCTTCTGCATTCACCATATCTTCATCTGCCACCATATCTTCATCAACATAATCATCTTCTGCAAGCCAGCGTTCAAGCTCGTCCATCTCATCATAGTCATGCATGTAAACATCATCAGCGGTATCCCCTTGCTCAACTCCCAGCTCCTCACCACGGCACGACACATGCAAGAACGGTCTACTTCGAGCTAAAGCATCTACCACATCCCTATTTACACTGCCCGTGACTCCCAACCATCTGAGTCTTGGAAAATATGGTTTCTTCAACCACCGGAATGAAAGAGGGGTAATCCCACCGCAATTAAACAGATCCAACAACCTCAAGCCGTTACCATGCCACCTCTCCTCGTCAACTTGCATAGAGGCTAATGCCATTACCGAAGTGTCACCTATGAGTGGGCATTGCCGCATGCGCAGTTCAAGTAGCGGAATCCTACTCTTTGCCAGTAATAGAACTGCATTGTCGGAGAGATTAGGAAGATTGGACAAGTCTAATTCTTGCAGCTCCAACTTGGAAGAGCCATCAAATAGAGCAGAGATACATTTATCTGTAAGTTTCTTGCATCCTCTAAGAGACAGTGAAATTAGTGAACTTATGACCACTTGTCTCAAATATGATAATCCCACATCACTAATGTCAGAGCCATCCAGCAACAATGTCTTTACCTTTGGAAGAGTGCTTATGGCTCGGAGGGATTCATCCCCGAGGTTTCTGCAATCTCTCAAATCCAAAACTTTCAGATCCTTGTTAGACGCCAAACTAGTCACTGCATGGTTGGTTAAAAGAGTGCAGAGTCTCAAGCTAACATGTGTTAAAGAAAGGGAAGTTGCAGAAATGTCATGAAAAACCAAATCAGTTAATTGAGTCCCATGAGACACCCTAAGTTTATATAACTTGGAGCAAGAATGCAAGATCGTTTTGAAACCCGTGTCTGTAACACGACAGAAGCCACTGAGAAATATGCTTTCCATGTTTTCACACTTGTCAGCCAATAAGAGAAGCCCAAGATCATTTACTCTTCTAAAATAGGTAACGACATACTCCTGGCTCCGAACCAATGAGAGATGCTTCAACTTCCCATACTGATTAATCTGTTGAAGGCCAGAGTTTGTAAGGTCAAATGAAACTCTTGGTTCTATGAGGGGTGTATCTCTAAGATCCAAATGGGTGAGGGACAGGAGACCTTTAGAAATCGCTCCAACCATAGCATCAGTTATATAGTCAACTGAAAGGCACAATTTGTGAATGTTTGGCAATATTGAAGGCTGAATACGGTTTGATGGCTGATGGGATACAAAATTCGTGCAAAGTAGTTCAGTCACCATCAATGATGAAATGTAGCCAATCTCGAGAGACGTGAGTTTCTCCGACGCCAAAGCCCAAACTTGAGCAAAGTTATGACGGAGATAGATTGATGATACATCAAACATCAAGACCAGTGCCTACCAAACATAATCAAACAGAGATTAGACGAAAGACATCAAGCAATTATACTGTACAGTAACAAAATATGCTTTACCGGTACATTGCAATTAAGGTAACTTATATATGAAGCATCTAATGTCAAAACGCTAACAAGACTGCTATCAACCATTTAATTATTAAGCCAGATGACTGAAGAGGAACCTATCCATCCTAACAAACTCGCCATATCAGTCTTGAAGTTAGCATCTTCCGCAGATTCAAAAGCCAAAATGTTTACTCAAATCCTTCTTGTTAAACATTTGCTTACTAAGCAAACGTATATATTAAGCATCTAATGTCAAGATGCTAAAAAGGACTGCTACTAAACATTTAATTACTCAGCCAGATGGCCGAGGAGGAACCTAACCGTATTAACAAACTCGGCATTTTCGACAACCCATCAATTATAAAGTTAGCGTCTTTTGTAGATTTCAAAAGGCAACATCTTTACTCAAATACTTATCATTAAACATTTGTTTGTTATTGAATCATCATTTAACTGAGTCTTACTTGTAATTGAGTGCAACCACTGAGCAACTCCTCCAAATCAGAAATATGAATAGCCCGCCCTCTCTTTTCGGCAACTGACCCCAAGCACAGAGACCTGAAGGGAAATTTCATAATCCCCAAAAGCCAATAACAACAACACCCCTTTCACTTTCCACAACTCAATAAGTCACCAGCAATCTATACATATAATTAGCAGAGCTTGACCGAAATCGAAATCGAAACCAAACCAACCTCAGATCCTTGCACCGGGCTCCGATTTCCGAAAGCAATTTGCCGCTAAAATCCGCGCAATTGAGCATACAGAGCTCTTCCAGCGACGGCTGAAGCAGAATCTGAATGGCGGAATCGTCAAGCAGGCCGCAGTTCACCTTCACGCTCTTCAGCCAGGGGTTTGGGAGCAACAGGGGTCTCAGCAACTCCATGGAAGGCGCTATTTCCTGAAAACCCAATTCAAAAAGTACCAAAATTTTCAGAAAAAAATCCACAAAGTTACCAAATTTCAATTTTTGGGGAAACCCAGAAGTGAAAAATTGGAGGACTTACGAGGATGTGGAAGGAGGGAATGAAGGAGAGGATGTGAGAGGCGCAGGCTTTGAAGGCGGTGCAGGTGGATGCGACGGAGCAGACGGAGGCCACGTCGAGCTTTATCATGATGGTGGCGAGCAGGGCCAAGGGTAGATGATCAAGGCTAACGATTGAGCTGTTGCTTTCGCTCGTCTCCCCCGCCATTTTTGCTTCTTCTAAGTCTTCTTCTTCGTCAATCTTGTGGGATCTGCGTACTGGTGTTTACCGATTGACGACACGACACGACACTACAACCGCCAAGTCTGCATCTTGACGTAAATCGAACGGTGCCTGTACTGTTTAGTTTAGAATCACGAGGTAATGTGGATTTGGGTTTTGGTTTTTACTTGGCCCAAACTATATCCAAAGCCGAAAGCCCAAAAGTCCAAGCCCTTATCAAGTTAGAGTTCTATTTATATTTACAGAATTTTTATTAGTACTTTAAAATTCTTATTTTGCACCCAATTTTTCTATATTTAAAAAGAATAATACACCTTTGAGCAATGTAAAATGAGATTTTAGAGTGTCAATAACAATTTTCTTATACTTATTCATACAAATGATACTAGAGGATGAGAGATTTAACCACGAGATTTCAGGTGTAAAGATATTTTTTTTTTTTTAATTTTTTATAACCAACTGAGCAACAAGATCTAGTCCTTATAAGATTTTTGATACAAACGATATTTTACTTAATTTAATCTATATTATAAGCAAAGAAATTTAAACATAGGTACAAAAAAGGAAACACGTTATTCTAGTCAATATAAATGCCCGGTATGCAACCTTTATAAAGAGTTATTAACAATTTAACAACCAATTTGACAAGAACAATGTTATAATTTTGATACTAATAGGTTACACTAATTAGCTGTTGAATTTTGATATATTTGGAAGAAGTAAGCTAGTGGAGTTACATTTTCTTATCGCATTCTTTAATGGGGAGTGTTAACAACTTTTGCACTAACTTTTTATGGGAACCTTTCACTTTCTCAAATGTCATGTGTCATTTGCTTGCACAAGAAACAAGACCTTTAAGGCTTTTGGCTAGGAATTAATGGCATATTTACGTAAGGGTAATTAGAATTAAAAAGCAAACTTGAATGTCGATTACGGAATACTCTAGTGTTTATCAAACATTTGGTGGAATCCATGCAAATTTTAGAATCTACTTCCAATATTTGTATTGAAATCCCTACAATTTGATGTATTTGGATTCCGAATTGCTTAGTTAATCAGAATGAACTTTTTCTCCCCATTATGCCCTCATTATTTTTAAAAATACATCTAGAGCTATCTCACCTTCTCTTCGGCGCAGCTTCCCTTCTCTTCAGTCGCAGCTCTCATCAAATTAATGGAGACATAAAACCTCTTTGTCTTATGCGTTTTCATCAATATGTTGATTTTTTGTTTTCATAAAATTCATCGTGGAAAAGAATTGCATGATGAAATGACTACTTTCATCGTCGAAGGTGTTTTTTTTTTATTGGTAGAACTTAGTCGACAACTCCATCCCTGAAATCAATAACCATTTCTAGAATTATGGTCTCTAAAATTTTCAGTCACCTTCATGAAATTAGGAAGAGTGAGGCAAAATGATATTTTAGTAATTATACTAGTTATATTTCGATTTTGCTAAATTATTAAACAATTTTAAAGAATTAGTACAATTTTTGTTTTAATTCCAAAACATTTAGTAAACAGTTTTTATGGAAATCTGAATTTTGATTCTCCTCAATTCAATTCTTTTTAATCAAATTCCTCTAATTTTAATTACCATTACGTAAATGAGCCATAAAGGTGAAAAACATGTCATTTGGTAAGGTGAGAAGGTCAAGTTGCTAGCATTTCTCTCATGTCATTTAATTATATATTTTTATAATGGCTTTTTAACCAAAATGATCTCTGAGATTTGAAATCAATAAAGTGGTTTTTGAGATTGTTTAGCATCAATTATTTTGGTCAAGGAATTAAGGGTAATTTTATCATTTTATTCTTATTTTATGGAGATTTTTTATGGAATGATCAAAATGATTAATTATGAACAAACTCAGGAACCAATTCTATTGATTTCAAATCTCAAGAACCAAAGTGAGGAGTCGTGCAGATCTCAAGAACCATTTTGGCTAAAAAGCCTTTCATAATTGATGTGCATTACACCGGTATCACTTTGTTGTTTCTAAAAGATTACAAATGTTGCAATGTTAATATTATTGTAAATTTGCTTAATGTGAATGAGCTTTTAACTTTATAAAAATGTGAATAATGATATGATCATTTGTTTTTTTTTTTAGGACAAGTAATATGATCATTAGTTAGTGAATGGTTTTAATATGTTTTTGTTTATACAAGAAAGAGACTATAATTTACACAACAGATTGGAACTCGAGTGCAAGAAGCGAACATAAAGAGTTGCCCTGGCCAACAAGTCTAACCCACATTTGCAATCAACCCATAGCCAATCAAATAAAATTCCCAATGAAAATTTTGTACCCTACAAATGCCAAGTTCACTCTTAAAAACCAACCCCCAAACCCCACTCTTCCCACAACTTGGAAATTCAGCTCAACATAATCTATCATCTTTTACACTGTTTAAAAGCTATTTGTTATTAATGGGATTATGCTAATGCAAGATTAATCCAAGGTGCTAATACAATTTTCTGCAAATTAAGCATCAAACCATATAAAGCTTATGCTCTAATTCTATCATCAACTGACACTAAACCCTCTATCAACAGCATAATCCACAAAGCTGTAGAGTGGCACCACTCCATCACCATACTTCTCAAACCCATCCAACTCCTGTTTAGCTTTGGTTTTGAGCTGCTCTGCCACCTCCATAGCCTTCTCCACCCCATACATTTTCACATAGCTGAACCCCTTCTTCTTCCCCTCTCCATCACCATCATCTCCGCCCTTCATCTTCTCCTCAAGAATATCGTCAACCACCTGGTACAAAACCCCGACAGCTCTCCCATACCTCCTCAGCCTATCCAACTCATCATCTTCAGCACCCCCCAGCAGTCCTCCGCAAACAGCAGAGCACTGACTCATCTCCCCAAACTTCTTCTCCTGGGCGAATTCCACCGCCTCTGGCCCGCCTTCAAGGTCCAGGAACTGCCCGGCCGCCATTCCCGTGGACCCCACGGTCTGAGCAATCTCTATGATCACACGCAGGAGGCGCGGCTCCGGCACGAGGTTGGAAGGCGTGTTTGATACAATGTGCTGAAACCCCAATGGAAACAGAGCATCCCCGGCGAGAATCGCCATGTCATCGCCGTAAATTGTGTGGTTCGAGGGCTGGCCTCGCCGTGATGGGTCGTCATCCATGCACGGAAGATCATCGTGTATGAGTGAAGCCGCATGTACCTATCAATTGCCAATCAAAGAAAAGCAAACAACCTTATGAATATTCCAATCACAAAATACAAAACCCAAGTAAAAAATTGAGCAAAATTAGCAGCTATTTACTCCCAATTAACCAGACAGGGTTAAAAGCAAGATTCTACAATTTTTTTCTTCTTCTGAAAAACCCAATTCGGATTCTGCGCAAAAAATCCAAATGATGCAAGAATATTCATTGCAAATGAATCGGTTTAATTAAGTCTCTGTAAGGTAAAAGGGAAACAAATTACTAACCATTTCGAGAGCGCAGGCGGTGGGGAAGGCGGCAAGGCGGTTGCCGCCGAAGAGTTCACAGACTGCGACGCACATGACCGGTGAGGCTCGCTTGGCGCCATCAGCGAGAACGGAGTATCGCATGGATTGATATATCTGCTCTGGGTACCGAATCGGAATGGCTTCGTGAAGCTTCTGATTCATGTCGGCGATGAGGGTAGTCCAGTAGGTTTTCAAATCGAACTTGAGGGGGCTCGATTGGGTTGAAATGGACGGCGACGATGAAGCGGAGGAGCACCGGATTGGAAAAGCTAGCTTCTTTGGGATATAGAGGTGGGATGATGCCGATATCATCGAGAAAGAAGCCATTTTTTTCTGGGTTCTTCTGAATCTCAACTGGGAGCTCTAATACGAGATCTGCTCTAATGGTGGGGAGAGAGGAAGCGGGGGGAGAAGATGAGATTTTGGAGAGATTTTTCAATTTGACCACAGCACTGGTGATTCTACGTGTTATTATACAACTAATAAGATATATGTTTTACAATGTTAAAATCTTAAAACATAAAATTCTGTACAATTTATATAAAAACACGTAATATATTTGTGTTCCGATCATAATAAAAAGTTTATCGAAATTTTGGATGTGATTAGGAGAAAATTTTAGTTATGACGAGAATACAGATGATATACCGCGTATTTTTATGTAAATGATGAAAATTTTTATTTTTTAAATTATTAACTTTTTAATACACATATTTCATTATATATACGTGATATATTATCCGTATGAACTTGGTCCAACCACCTGTCCTCATTTCAATTGGCCATCCCCCTCAATTTTATTTTATTTTAATAAAATCAATATATTTGTAAAATTTTACTCTTTAACAAGAAGGATAATTGGAGAGTAAATTTTTAAAACAAATTTACAAATTAAATAATGTGTCATCAATAATAAATAAGTGCGTTAATTAAAACTTAAGTAATAGTCCAATTAAAAATCATAAACAATCACATTATTTAGTTTACAAAATTTGGTTCTCTAGCTTACCTAATAAGAATTAGCCACTACCAAAAAAAAAGGATTAGGCGAGTTTGATTACATATATAGTTTTTTTGTGGGTAACGTACAAAAAACTACCTCAACTATTGGGGTCACGACAGTTTCATACCTCATCTTTTAAAATTGACAATATCATGTCGTATCTTACGAATTTGTGACAATGCCATACCTTTGTCAATTTTTCTGTTAGTTTTTCTGTTAAGTGATCACGTGGCTTGATTCGGGACATACTTTCTATTAAAAAATTATTAAAAACTAAAAAACAATTATTTAATATTTTTTTAAATATTAAAATAATAATAAAAAGCAGAGGAAAAAAAAAAAAAAACCATCAGTTCGTCCCTCCCCTCCCCCTCCCCCCTCCTCTCTCTTCTCCCCATCTTCATTTTCTTCCCCCCACCTGCAAACCCAAAAAAATAAAAAAAATTTGGAAAACCCAACAACCCCCCTACGGAAGAACAAGAAGGAGAAGGATGAGGAGGAGGAGGAAGAAGAAGAAGAAGAGGAAAAAAAGGAGGAAGGAAAAAAAAATAAAAATTCCCTCGTCAGCACGGAAGAAGAAGAAGGGAGAAGGAGAAGGAGGAAGAAGAAGAAGAGGAAGAAAAGGAGGAGGAAGAAGAAGAAGAGGAAGAAAAAATAAAAAAAAAATTTGAAAACCCATCAACACCCCCCCTGCGGAAGAAGGAGAAGGAGAAGGAGAAGGAGAAGAGGAAAAAAAAGGAGGGAATTTTTTTTTTTTTTTTAAAAAAAACCATCAACTCCCCTGCGGAAGAAGAAGAAGAAGAAAATGAAAAAAAGAAGGAAAAAAAAAAGAAAATTTGAAAAAACATCAAATCCCAAATCCACCACTTTCATCTATTCTCCACATCCTCTTCCGCACCCATCCTCCACCTTCTCTGCTCACCCATCTTCTCGCTGACAGGATCTGGGTTTTTTTTTTTTTTTTCCTTCTTCAGGGTTGCAAGAGGGAGAAGAGTGTGGGTGTGGGGAAATTAAGTGTGGGTGTGGAGGGAAGACAAATTGGATTTTTTTTTTTTTTATTTTGTTGGGATTTGCAGGTGGGGGAAGAAGATGAAGATGGGGATAGGAGAAAGGAGGGAGGAGGGGGGAGGGGAGGGACGAAATGAGGGTTTTTTTTTTCTGCTTTTTATTATTATTTTAATATTTAAAAAATATTAAATAATTGTTTTTAAGTTTTTAATAATTTTTAATAGAAAGTAGGTCCCGAATCAAGCCACATTAGCACTTAACAGAAAAATTGACGGAGGTATGACATTGTCACAAATTCGTAAGATGTGGTATGACATTGTCAATTTTAAAAGATGAGGTATGAAACTGTCGTGACCCCAATAGTTGAGGTAGTTTTTTGTACTTTACCCTTTTTTTTTTACTGCAATTACATATATAGTTGAGTTATCAAACTAGTGGGCAACCACGATTGTAGAGAACTATTCAAATAAATCTCCAATAAAACGTCACTCATTAACATCATTACGATCGTCAAATAATACATTCAGAAATGGTTACTGATGTTAGGCTTTATCCCTTGGGCTTATACACTATTTATAGCTTTTACGGTCAAATTCCATTTGACCATGACGCTGGATTGAAATTGGTATATGAGGTTCTGAAAGAAAGTTAAATAAAGAAAGGAAAATTAATGAAAAAAACTTGAAAACTTTGAGTTTTAATGGTAAGGACAAAATAAAGGTAAAGTGAATAGTACCAGGATTGATTTTTTAGTGTAAAAATGTGATTTTTCGTTAAAGTGAACAGTATCGTAAGTTTTTCGTTAAAACTTCTAATAAAGAATGCATGGCAAAGTATGACATAAAGAAGAAGGTTTTGAAACAAAGTAGCTTGACGTGGGTTTTATGCTTTTAATCAAAATGATTGGGATTCGCTTCACTGATTTTCGGCTTAAGAGGAAAGGCACTTTTGACGAACTAAAGAGGTCTCACATCCGACCAAACGATGAGCAACGTCATGAGCTTACTAACACACAAACAAAAACTCAAACTCAACAATACTTTGAATGGTAAAGTGAGAAAATTGTAGCAATGATCCCTAACTAAAAATTTATGAACATTGGTCCTTTAACTCATCAAAACGTGCATCTATGGTCCTTTTCGTTAACTTCGTCAAAATTCCATCAAAATGACTCATGTTGGAAGAACTATTACTACAATTGGGTTAAAGTTAATGAACCATTTCTCTAATTGAGTTAAAGTTGCGAGACCATTGCTACAATTACGTTCAATTGGTTTTCCATATTTGCCCTTTGATTCAGCCTCATGTGCGTGGTACGTGACTTATTTTGATGGAAATTCTAACAGAGTTGACAAAAAAGACCATAGTTGCACATTTTTATGAGTTAAGAGACCAATAGTTATAGATTTTTAGTTGAGGGACCATTACTACAATTTTCTCTTGTAAAGTGTCACAAATGTTGTCACTTAGTACTACAATTTAGTAGTATTCCTCTTCACTTGTAAGTGAGAGGTCTTAGGTTCGATTATCGCCAAAGGCGAATTTAAACCACATTATTGCTAGTCCATTGTGAAGCTAAGCCCACCCCCTCTCCTTTAGTATAGATAATACCGTTTGTTTAAAAAAAAAAATCTAACAAATGTCCTTACTCCTTAATAACCCCTAAGACCATCTCTAACCGAAAGAGGGCCAGTTGATTCGTTTTAGCCCTTTGACTCTCCAAGAAATTAATATTTTAATAAACAGTGCAGGGTCATATTTCTTATCATCTTCAACCGAGGGCCAAAGGGCCAAATATAGCTGTCACAAAAAACTATCTCCAAGCAAGGGCCATAAGGCCAAACATAATTTATTATTTAAATTTAAAAACTATAACAACTTAAATTTAAAAATTACAACAACTTAAATTTAAAAACTACAACTTATATTTAAAAACTAAAACTAAAACTTAAAAACTACAACTTAAAATTTAAAATCCATAATCAACATCATCTTCATCATCTGCCATTATAGAAGTATAGTCGGAGATAAACAACTACCGCCGGGTCATAATTTCCCTTTTTTTCGTAACAAAATAGGCCTTACTCATTGGAGTGTAATCCGAAGCGTCCATTTGCATATTCCTATCATCCATTTGTTTGGCCCGTTCTTCATGCCTACGGTTCCTTTCTTCCGCGGCAAAGGCATTTTGCTCTGTCATTAATTGCAATGAGGCCGCCACTTCATGTTGAGCGGCATAATCATTCTTTGCCTTGCCCTTTTCCTTCAACCTTCGGGCCTTGTTTCGTCCCATAGTCCTAGCCCCTAGGTATGGAACCTTCACCCAAAGATTGATTTTCTACCCTTATTTTTTGAATGGTAGGAGATCCATCTTCATCCCCATCTACAACTTAGGATTGAGTTCCGAACACCGGCTTAGGACCTACTATATGTTGAGATGGATCTTCAAATAACACCCACCCTTTACAAATTTCCCAACAACCGTCAAACTGAAAGGATTTCGAGCTGCCCTCCATATACAATTTCTCCGCTTGGCGTACCTAGAAAATATAATTACAAAAATTAAAGGAAATTAAATTTAATATAAATAAATATTTAAAATAAATTGTGAAAACAATTACTTCGTTGTAGTAATTGGCGTCGTTTTCATGTTTACTTGCGGCTGCTATTAGTGCTTGATACCATTTATTCAAACTTGGATGAATATATTTCTTCCATCTTGAAGAACAACTCTCGTGGTTTCGAGCATTTGGTGGAGTGGGGCCTTTGTAGAACTCAAAGTATTTTTGGACACACGAGTCCAAATACCTTCACTTGTTCGAGAAGTCCCACTCACACTATCTTCCAAAACCCATATATAAGCCCTGCAAAGAGCTTCATCTTCTTTTTGGGTCCAAACCCTACCTTTCATTGCAGATGAGGCCATTTGAAAGTATTGAAAAAGTTGAAGGAAATATTATTGGACGAGGTAAGAAAATATGAGAATTGAAATGGTGAAAATGTATTTATAGGAAAAAATGAGAATTTTTTCAAAATTTTAAAAAAAATTTGCCCAAAAAAAAAAAAAAAAAAATTCAAATCCAATGATAAATGACGTCAGTTAGCCGTTGTGTTTAAATTATAGCCCGACCTGGGGCTGAACGGTTGGCTCTTTGGCCCTTTTTTGTCCGTGGGGCCATTAAGCCATTTGGCTTGACTTTTAATTAGAGATGATTTTTGGGCTATTTTCAGCTCCTTGATCCTCTGGACCTTTCAGTTGGAGATGACCTAATTTATTTGGTCAAGCAATATGAGTTAAATTAGTTAGCCAAGACATTACGTCTACATCTTTACAACTCGTGTTCGAATCTCCTAAGCACAGGTTGGATTAGTTAAGATTCAACATTTTATGCTATAAAGAAAATAAAATGTTGAGTAATGTTATTCATACCATATTTTATACTAC